TTTCAGAGAAAGCAAATTTTGACGAATGCACATTTCTGCCCTCCATGTTTAGAATCTCTCTGGGTAGCTCAGGTTTGTTTTTTTTAACTGTTCCAATCAAAGTCAGCTTTCGCTTGAGTAGCTCGACACCAAGGTTGTTCGATGTAAAGAAGTTGTCACAGGTTATGCAGTGACCTTGCAGCCCTTCACTCATTTGTAGAACCACACGCATCCCCTGGTTTCTCTCAGGTGCTCCACCTGATGGCTTGCCTGTGTAAATCCGCATTTTCCAGGCATAGCTGGTCTTGGAATCACAGGCTGTCCATACTTTGATGCCATATCTGGCTGGCTTTTTTGGAATGTACTGGCGAAAAGGACAGCGTCCTCTGAATGGTACAAGGCGCTCATCGACTGTAATGTGTGGTCCAGGGTTGTAAAAACGAGGCAGAATTTCTACCCATTTATCCCACACATCTCTGATTGCCGCTAATTTGTCCCTCTCACGTCGACTAATTACTTCTTTTACTGTCAATCTTTTCCTGCTGTCTATGTTGAAGTCTCGTGCAACACTAAGCAAAAGTGTGGGAAAGCTCATTATTCACTCACAGGGGAGTGAGAAACAAAACATAACAAAAACAAAGATCAAATAAATGTTTTTTATTTATTTTTTGGCTCTTGAAGCTGCCTTTGAAAATCCTACATAAAAGGTTTGTGTAAAAGCTAGGTATTTCAAATATCTTGAATATAGAAATGAGAGATTTTTTTACTCTCCGTGTCTGACAAAGATTTTCATCTGTAATTTGCAATTAATTCTGAACACCGTGATTTAGCCTAGCTTTTTCAAGTGTGTTTGGATAGGGTTAGAGCACTTTTAGATACACTTGCACTTTAGAATTGGAGTTAAAGTGCTCTGACATACATAAAATAAATGTTTTTATTTTGTCTGTACAGTTGCTTTTGAATAGCTGCCTATGAGGGTCAAATTGACCCGCGAACATCACGAACGTAATAGTAATTTTGTTTGTATATGTCAAAACATGTTGAAACTTTGCATGCATGTTCATGACGATAAATGAGAAAAAGTCACAAAATATCAAGAAAAAAAACAAAGGTTTAATATTATTTCAGGTAGCTTGAAAAAATAAATGGTAGCTCATTTTTACCATTTGTGGCTGACAAAATATTTTTCTGTATTGAAATAAGTGTGGAAAAGCTCATTTTTAGCTTCATACGGTAGTAAAAAAAAACAAATATACAGGTGCTGGTCAACGAATTAGAATTATTTTAAATAGTGCAATCATGAAATTCTTTGAATGCATTTTTTGTGCAGAAAGCAAATCAGGTGTTCACCGCACCTGTCCTACTCGTTAGACTAATCACAGAACTCGTTATCTGGAAAAAAATTTGCTCAGCTGAGCTTTCCAAAAGGCCCATTTAGGCCATTTAACTGTGACACTGTTGTTTTATTGAATTAGAATAATGGTGAAAGCGTTTCATTGAATTAGAATAAATGCTCAAATTTTTGTTTTCTGTGAAGATTGTTCACTGTGCAGTATAAAGTCAGGGTTGAGTAGAATTTCTAAGTTGTAAAATCAATCATGGGTAAGCAGCGCGACCTCTCAACCGGAATAGTGGCTCAAATTCAAGCCCTTCGCCAACAAGGCTTGACCCAAACTAAAATTGCTGAGCAGCTCGGCATCAGCCAGTCTTCCGTCTGCAAAGCTCTCAAGAAAAACTGCAGCAAGCGCACCAACTGTTCCGGCGTCCGAAAAACTTCTGCTCGCGACAACAAGCAGCTGAGAAAGATCGCAGTCAGCAACCGGTTCAAGTCCACTTCCGAGCTCACCGACTTGTGGAACAAGCAGACCGGCGCTGACGTCTCCAGATCAACCACTTACCGTCGTCTGCGCGAACTCGGCTTCAAATCTCGCGTTCCAGCAGTAAAACCGATGCTGAACAAGAAACAAATGGTGAAACGGCTGAAGTGGGCCAAAGAACACGGCGAGTGGACTGCTGAAGACTGGCAGAAAGTGGTCTTCAGTGACGAATCACGCTTCTGCATCTCCTTCGGTGACCAAGGTCCTCGTGTCTGGCGTCGTGGTGGCGAAACCTACAACCACGAGTGCGTGAAAAGATCCGTCAAGTTTCCCCAGAGCGTTATGGTCTGGGGATGCATGTCCGCTCGAGGTGTAGGGAAACTCTGCTTCCTCAAGAAGACTGTCAATGCTGCCGTATATCAAGATGTTCTGGAAACGTTCCTGATTCCGACTGTTGAGGAACAGTTCGGCGAAGAAGACTTCATATTTCAACAGGATCTTGCACCGGCTCATGCGGCAAAGTCGACCAAAGATTGGTTCACTAAAAAACAGCTTGAAGTTTTGGCATGGCCGGCCAACTCGCCTGACCTCAATGTCATTGAAAGCCTTTGGGCCATCGTCAAGCGGAAAATTCGCGACAGAAAGCCTACTACGCTGGACCAACTGAAGCAGAACATCGCCACTGCCTGGGAAGCTGTGAGTGCGGAAACTTGCGACAAGCTGGTCAAATCGATGCCGCGGAGACTTCAGGCAGTCATACAAGCCAAAGGGGCAGCCACAAAATACTGAGAAAGTGATGATTGTAATTATAATAAAAATTATTGCAATTCAATGAAACGCTTTCACCATTATTCTAATTCAATAAAACAACAGTGTCACAGTTAAATGGCCTAAATGGGCCTTTTGGAAAGCTCAGCTGAGCAATTTTTTTTCCAGATAACGAGTTCTGTCATTAGTCTAACGAGTAGGACAGGTGCGGTGAACACCTGATTTGCTTTCTGCACAAAAAATGCATTCAAAGAATTTCATGATTGCACTATTTAAAATAATTCTAATTCGTTGACCAGCACCTGTATATAATCAAGAAATGTTATTATTTTGGGTCGGAACAATTGCCTTAGAGCGTTAAAATATGTGGGTCAAATTGACCCGGGAACATCAGGAACTTAATAGTAATTTTGTTTGTATATGTCAAAACACATTAGCATGTTGAAACTTTGCATGCATGTTCATGATGATAAATGAGAAAAAGTCACAAAATATCAAGAAAAAAAACAAAGGTTAACCAGTATTTCCAACAACTAGAAAATCTAAACGAAATCAAATTGACCCGCAACATAACACAAGGGTTAATGTAAACAATGAGCCTGGTCCCCTCTCCTTGCAAGGGTGTCAAAGTCTGGACAAAATATGTACAGTGACGTGACATAACTGCCAGATTCAAAAACTATGCGTTCAGCTGGCACTGAGCCAAAGACGGACCCGCTCAGCGTTTTCAAACACATAAACTTTAATTTAGGTTTCAGACATTTAAATACACATAAGCACTAGTAAAACAATACATTTGGAGTTTGTAAAATATACACTGATGTCTATGGAAGCAGCAATAACAATCTATTCGAATATAATATAATTTGCCGACGTGTGTATCAGATACACAGTTTAAGTAACTATAAAGTTTACTCTATTCTTCTCCCAGTTCAACGGCCACTTTCTTAAATGTATTTTCAGGAAAAACTAATGAATTTTCGTGTTGTAAATCCAACAGACAGGACTCAAACGCAAACAAACATTAAGGGGGAACGTTCTAAAATAACGGTCGACTTGAAAAAACTCAGTTTGAATATTTTAAACTTACGCGTGAAAGGGTTAACGTCCGAGTTACCGAGTGCATTCTAATTCTACAGTAGTAGGCCCGCCTAACTGTACTGCGTGCTATACTGCCATTTATTGGCGTTCGCTTGTATTGCGTCAAATTAGTACTTCTGAACCAAAACCATTACTCAAGTTTTTTAAAACTCCCTCACAGGCCAGATGAAAGTGTTCGGCAGGCCATAATTTGCCCCCCTCTGGTCTAGTGTGCACACATTTACGATTAAGTTTATTTTATATAAATCCACATATGTGCATAGAAAATGGCACACGCACATTTCAATTCCTTTTTTGTGCATACGCAAAGTAAATACTAGGGCTGACTTCTAATAGTCGAGGATTCGATTCGGAGAGGTCTGATTCGACTATGAACCTCATAGTCGAATAGTAGGGAAGTGTTATGTAACCAATAGGGGTGTGACTGTTATTATATATAACCGTGAGACCGACGGTTATAGTTGAACACCGTCATTAGAACTATATAACCGCCAAAACCGTGCTATTAAAATATTTTTTTACAAACATTTTTTATCATAGAGAATGTTTAAATACATCTTACGAGGGAAACGGAGGCGGAGTTAGTGGTGCTTCAGAGGCTGCTACTGCTGGAGATGATTCGGGAGAGGTCTGTGCACCTTTACCGATCAGAGCGTGCGCTGACACGGAGTAAAGTCTTGTTTACTCGACGCGTCCGCACGAGCGCGAAGGTGCGCGCGGCAAAATGACGCGTTGGGTGCGCAAGACCCCATTTCGCTTGGCTGTGTGCACGGCTTTTTTTTTTGGTAACAGCGCGTGCGGCGCCGCATCCGAGGATGAACGACTTCAAGGATTAATCACTAGGCATGTAGGCCTACGTCTCACCGCACCGGCACGCAGTTGGCAAGTTGGCAAAGTTGGCTAAATTGGCAAGTTCATTGCAAAGTTTTTTTGTTAAGGTTTTGTTTACTGTGTGTGATTTATTTAAAACAAAGCACGTTCATTGCAACGTTTTTTTTTTTTTGTTAAGCGGATTCATTTAATGGAAAGCACATTCACTTCTAGTTGTCTTGCTGTTCATTTTAAATAAACGTAGAGCGAGTTGTCCTATAACAGACGAACAGTTATTCAACCGAACGTCTAGCTGCTATCTAAAAAAAAAAAAAAAAAGGTTCGACTATCAGTCGACTACGGCAAAATCTAACGAATCAGATTCGACTATGAAAATCCTTAGTCGAAAACAGCCCTAGTAAATACATCAAGCCCCAGGTCTTTAACTAATTAACCTGTCATTTTGATTTTGACCATTTGAAGATTGACAACAATCAACACAAAGTTTGACAAATTTCTACTTACGTTTCATGAGTGCCAAAAAAGAAGATTGGAAACTTTATATTTGACAGTTTGACGGCACCGTCTGGAATCTCATCAATCTGAAATTGCACAGTGGCATGTAAAGCATGAAACTGCAGCATGCGTAACCATTTAAAGGCAAAGCACTAAACATTAATCAGACAGTGACATTTGACAATAATAAACAAATTAATAATAATAATAATAATAATAGAAATTGTGATCATTTAGTTGTGCTTGCTCACCCTTGCAGGCCAGTAGGGATAACCCTTCATCTTTGCAAAAATCAAATCACCAGGTTTGAAATCCCGAGCCATGTCAGACAGATGGATCACCTTTTTTGGGACATATCAAAACAATTCCATTATTTGTACATCAAGACACCACTCATCCATTTGGCTTCATCACATTAACCTCCTCATGACACAGTGACATAGATAGTAATTAAAAAAATATTACTCAATTAGTATTCTCTGATAAGTCATTATCTGAAGACGTGATATCACTCTCTGAAACGGTTTATTATAGCCTACTCGTAACTCCTTGATTTAGGTTGGAGGTGTCTTGTTGACTGCTAACAACAAATTAAAAAACTGTCTATGGCTTTTCTCTCCTCTTTCAAAGGAGAGAAAAGATCAAAAGTTCAATCAAATCAAAAGTCAAAAGAGAATCAAAAGTTCAAAGTGAAGCCCAGAGAATGTTTAGAATGTCAATTCATCTTAATTGAAAAAAAGGTGCACTCTCTCTAGAATAAAAAAAGTTTGAACATTAACGTTATTAGTATAAAACAAGTAAGGTTTCGACCATTGTCAATGCCTTCATCAGACATCAAGAACAACTATATCACACACTGCTTTATACACTCTTACATCAATATCTCAATGGACTTTTTTAATGCTAAAATAAAATAACTCAGATAGAATGTGAATTCTCTTTAAAATGTTGTGCTACCGCATTACTAACATCCCCATGTCTTATGGCACTACGATGTTCACATATACGAGTTCTCAATTATCTTGATGCTTCACCAACATACAACAGTCTACATGGTATAGCTACAACATAAATGAAATTGCATGAATTATAGTTGATGATACTTTTTATAAATATATTTTTGCCTGTTTGTGAAAATATTTCAACCTTCTACTGTATTGACAGAGTACAATTTCCACACTTGCTACCAGGGTGGAATCGCAAATAATCGAGGCTTAGAAGGACATGCATACATTAGCCCTGACTAAAGAGTTATTTAAAGGTAGGGTAGGCAATTTCTTTTTATAAAAACTTTGTTATTCTGGTTGAAACTGTATTTTCATAGCTCCGCGCACCCTGCTCGCAGATATCACACGTCATCAGTGCGTTCCATGACGCTATAAAAGAGTTGTAGACAGTCACTGAGCTCCACAAACAAACTCCAGTTCCTCCTGAACCAAAACAGCAAGCTTATGCCGTCTCTGACTCGGATTTACGCGTTTATCTGGCAACACTATCAATGCCAAAATTAATCTGCAGCAGAGGCTTCAACTTATATTTCTATGCTTTTGTAAGAGCCACACCAGCTCTTACTTTAAAAATTAGGTGGATAGGAAATTGGCATTCAATTTATCTGGTTGCCATTTCAGGTAAGGCATAGTACTTTCACCATCATGACCAGTGTTGGGTAAGTTACTTCAAAAAAGTAATTAATTAGTAATTACATCATCAATATTGTATTTAAAATACTTTTCTAATTACTCTGTCTGAAAAGTAATTTAATTACTCAACAAGTAATTAAACAAATTACTTCTTAAAATCCCTATAAACCTTGACCGGATATACAATAGAAATGAAACTCTTATAATAATTAAATATGAGTCAAACATGGAATAGTTTATCCTTTTAAAGCATTTTAGCTTTATTAAAACATACTATAATACTTAAACATTTTAATAACAAATGTAACCTTTACTTAAACAGAATTCCTCTGCTACATATCTGAATAACAAACAAACAAACTTAAGAGAAGTTAAATAACATGTATCAAGCTGTAAACATGAAACAAGCTTTCAAAGCAAGGAGTACCATATTAGAGAGAGGTATAAGGGCACAATATGTCACTTTGAGTGATTTATGGCCCAATAAAATGGTTCCCACGCTTAGCCCCGCCCCCTTCTACCCCACCCACCCACTTCCGGTCTGAACACCTGGACCGTGGGAATTTTCCCACGGTCTCCCCTCCTCTTTCCACCTCCACCCTCCCACTTCCGGAGAGGTCATGTGACCGCGGAAATTCTCCCACGGTACGAAACCCCTCCCATCCGACCCGGTTCCGGAAAGGGCACCTGCAGTACACCTGTTATGGGCATCTGTCTTGTTCAATGTAAAAAATTTCAAAATGATGGAAAAAACATTCAAAACAATACATTTTCAATCTTTTTAAGAAGGATGCCAGAAAACGTATAATGAGAACATAGTCAGAGATAGGTTTAGTGTTTTTATTAATGAATGGTCCTTTTACACACATCTGAAAGTGTTCAAAATCATGTTAAAACAATGTATAAAAGTGTGTTTTTAGCGATCTCCATACGCTTGTAAAATGTTAAAAACGTTTAGACATAAAAAATAAATAATTAATAAATTTAAATATATAATTCAATAATTAAATAAAAAGTTTTAAATTGTGTTTTCTTAAAGTTAACAAAATGTTCTAGTATTAAAACATCTAATTACTATATTGAAGATGTACTTTTTCGCAATAACACCGGGGTTTAAAGGGTTATAAAGTTAAAATACATATGTCTTAGTGTTCATACACTTGTAAAACGTTAACACATTAATGAAAAAGTTTAAATAGTGTTTTCTTAAAGTTATCAGAAATGATGCATGTTATATATATATATATATATATATATATATATATATATATATATATATATATTGTCATCTGGTGTAAATACTTGTTAAACTCTGCTTACCTATCATTATGTTAAAATTTATATTTATCAAATACATATATTTTCTAACATACATATTAAGAAAAAGTCTTACTTTTCACATAACACGTATAGTGCTTAAAACTATTAAGCCTATTTATATCATTAAGACACAGTACAAGCATTTAACCTTCACACATTATTTTGTAAAATGTTCCATTTTTTACATAAAACATCTGTTTTAAAAAAGGGATTTTCAATCACAAAAATAAGTAAAACCGCATTTATTAAATTTTTATATCAAGCAATAGATCTATTTTCTAACATATATTTGAACAAAAGTAGTAGTTTCAAGTGTTTAAAGGTATTAAAACGTTGTATAAAGTTTAAAATACACATGTCTTAGTGTTTTTACACATTTGTAAAAATGTTAAACATTAATGAAAAAGTTTTCTTAAAGTTATCAAAATGTTTTAGTATTAAAACATCTAAAATAACATTTTAAAAATGTTAAAACGTTAAAGAGTCAAAGATCAGTAATTTACAGAAAAGTAAAACAAGTTAAGAGAGTTTTTTCATTACAGAAAAAAATCTATTTCTAAAACCATCAATTTAAAAAAAGACTTAGGCCTACGTTTACAAAACTGCGTTTTGAAGAGAGAAGAACAAAAACTTTGGCGTGTAGAGCATACTGAAACACGCCTGTTCAGCTCGGTGTCAAAGACAGCAATGACCGACTGAAAGTGAGCGTAGAGTCCCACTCAGACCCCTCCCACGACACTCCCACACCACGCGACTTGCGTGGGAAAAGAGTGCATACAGTGCCCACGCGTCCACAGCGTGCGCACACGCACATAATGAAAGAAGACCCAGCCCCCGTATCATGCGGCGGTCTGTTTAAAAAAGCCACAAACTTAACGTGCATTCACTTGAGATTTTACGCTACTGCAGACCCCAAGACTCCCGAGAGATCCCGTGATGAAGCTATGATGGATTTAACATTAGCTCCACGAAAATTACATGGATCGTGCTTAACACAATTAACCAGCGGAACACGTGGAATATATTTTTTCATTTGCGAAGTCAGATTGGCCAACGTGGATAACGATTGAAGATTTACATGGAATAAAACAGTCACAGAGCGCGATATTGGATTTTATTTTTTACCACGTTATGGATTGGCTTGAAAAGACAGAGGAGACGGATTAACAAATGGGGAATATACAGACTGCTCGCGGACTACTACGTTAATAAATACCCACGTATTAAATAAATATATGTATTTAATGTAATAAATAATAAATATAACGTTACTTTCTTTGCAGTGAATCTGAGAGGGTGAAAAGTAGATGACTATGCCTAAACACTATATTGTTTTAACCGGACATCATGCACCCATGTAATTACACCGAAGCAGAAAAAGTTAAAAGTGAACAACATATATGGTCCTTCGAAACGGCAAACATGCCCGTACATGTCCCCTGAGACACAGTCGAAGTCTACACAACATGCATATACCATGACATACTCTACAGATAACACGGGAGGGTGGTAATAATATAAAGTGCAAACATTTCTAAAGACGGAATGCCTCACGATCTAAATTCTCTCTCTTATGAACGTATTATACAATAAAATATGCTCATGTGTTTACAATTAGTTGCACGCACACACATATTCCTTAGTTAACAACACTTGATTTTAACTATTATTTACATTGAACACAAGTGCATCTGTAACGTTACATTCTCTCTCCATTAGATGTTTTCAAACACCCGGAAAGTTTTAGAACAGTCCAAATAGCGAGCAGAGGCGGGTTTTTTTGGGAGAGTCCATTTCCAAAGGGCTTTTTACTGTTTTATAACAAATAACATCATGTCGCAGGAGAAATTCGCACACACACAAACACACCCCTACAATGTATTGTCTGTGGAAAGATCAGGGAGTTGTTTTTAATTAAAGAAAGTTTTGTTTTTCACATATATTTGAAAAGTTCACCGTCACATTTTAAAACATTTAAAAAAAAGCTGTATAAAAGTTAAAATACAATGGATGGTACATTTTAATACGTCATCAGAAAATGTTAGAGAAAGTTTTTACATCTTTTTTAATTCTGTATTTTTACAGACCTAAAACCATGAGGCTTCAAAGTATGGAATAGAAGTTTTTGAACATTAATACGTTTTTGAACATTTATAATTTTGTGTGTTGCAAAAGCAGAAGTCTATTTTCTTTAAATAAAGATTTACCCTTACTTATGCTTTAATTTCTTTAAATCAGTCTGATGACAAGCATTATTTCTGTGATTAATTGATTAGTAATGTAGCGAGGTGCTTTTCTCACACGAGGATGTGTTTGTGACAAACACATTGTATTTACTTAGACTTTTTTTAAAATGTATTTAACATTTTAAATGTTTTTTT